TCATTCTTAATCTTCTTTGCAGGGCCGTAACATATAACATTTTGCCTTTTTAAAACAAATTACAAAACTAATTGAATTTTAAAACTCGATGAAGTCACTTATGAGGACGTCGAGTGGTGTCACAAGCAATACGTGCTTGAATCGTTAAAAAAAAATAATTACATGACTGAATAAACATAAATTCAGTTTGTAACTGTTCAAAAACGCAATGTCGCCATCTACTACCGCTAAAAATACTCCAGATTTCAATGACAAGGGGGCATTCTAAAATTATGTAGACTTGACTGAGTTTCGTCGAAAAAAGGTTGGGAAACTGTGCCTTTGGGGTTGGATCCTGCGAATCCTGTGGCCTCTATCTGATTACAACGTGTCTAAATTATTTCGCCGCGCATGGTTAGGGCGTTTTGACGTTTTGCACGAATAACAGTCTTATCTAACGTGATGTCATAAAAATTGTTGAAGAGGTTAAGTTTTTTAAACGCAATGCGTGATTGTCTGGCTCAAAACATAATATTTAATTAAATTAAACAATTACTAGGGACAATCATGTTGTTTTTGTTGTGGTTATCATTGCGAGAGGGAGGCCATTGCCCAGCAGTGGACGTCGACTGAAACGAACGAACGAATCATATCTCAAGGGCGCTACGGTCACTAAATACACTCAACATCAAATAAACCGCACCTTCCGCGACGCGAACTTTAAAGATTTTCTTCTGACACAATCATGGTACCCCAACAATATTGGTGTTATTTGAAAGCCCAATAAATATCCTTAAAGAAAAATACATTTCATTTGTAATTATATGATTAACATATACCATAAATGTGACTTGAAAATAGACCTCACTTTGGGCTCACCTCTGGGATCAATTAGACCAATTTTTATGGTTATAAAACCAAATAAAGATCTCACGTGTCCACTTTAACAGATGGATAGCGATTAATCCCAACTTAACAGTTTTATAGTCATAAAAATGGCTATAGCGTAACTACCTATTTTTTGAAGAAGTGACTCTGGATCCTTGTAAAGTAAAAATTTTTGGGGTAAAAACCTTTCCTTTAATTAAATGAAGTTTAGAACTAGGCTTTCAAATGGTACCAATGTTGGTGGGAAGTGGGGATGTAGACGTTTGATAAGTGCTTGTCGCGGGAGGTGCGATTTATTTGATGCCGAGTGTAGAAATGAACATTTATTAGGTAGGCATTATTGTACATTATTGTATGACCACTCAAAAAGCAAGTAGGTACTTAAAGCAATAGAATACAGTGATGGGATTTATATACATATTTATTATTCAAAAACACAACGAACGTATTTCTTCCTTTTGAGTTTAACCAACTGCCCCAAAGGAGGCTTTGGTTATACCGACATATCCTGGCAACCGCAAACCCTTCGTTAGATTACACACAATCTCGGAATCGTTTCGTCCAGCAATAATCGCCGGATGAATTGTTTATCACCGGGTCTACCGTTGGGTCTACCGCTGTGTATCATTGGATTGCTAAGGAAATACGTAGGGATACGAATATGAGAGTTTGGCTTTCAAACCCCCGAATGTTATTAGGGATTACTGTAACACATTCGTGGTTTTAGGTAGCCACTATCTAGTGACACGTATTACTTTAAATTGCTTCTATACTGCACATTAAATAAATAATACAGAAAAGATAATGAGGTCATATTCATAGGATAAATATTTTCCTATTAAAATTTTATTTTATTTATAATATTTTATGTGATTTATTTCCTCTTGTGAGACGATAATAGCATTATTTGCTTATCAATAGTTCGGTCTGCATGGATACGCAACATTTTGAGATAAGAACCAAAATGTACTCAACTATACTAAGATTTTTATTATAATGTTCTTTATTAGATTGAAATTTAATGTAAGTGAAATGGTGGAAATTCCGATTAACTAACTAACTTTATCATTATTTTTGTTTCACGAGTTTCAGAATTAGTAAGCCACTGGCTATCCTTTACATGCACATATTTGAAATCTATCATTCAAACTGATTCGATACTATCCCACTAATTATTAATGTTCACTGATCTATTGGATCCACTATATGGATAGGATCTTTGCGGATGAGGGGGGATAAAGGTATAGGGAAGCACAAAAGATCCCAATGGGTCGACGTGCACTGCGCCCATGCGCGGCCCTAAAATAAGATAAGATAAGATAAGATAAATTAAAATGTATAAAACAGAATTAACCAGAAGTTTTATTTTATGACACTACGATTTTTCTCTCAGCGTGTCTACTCGCATAACTTTTTGGGCTATTCATAAATTTCTGCTATATCAACCAACCCATCTGGCCTAAGTGGGGAGTGTAGTCCTCCGTTTCCCTCTGGTAAATAAGAGAAGGTCGTGCTCTTGCAGTGGAGACTACATGAGCTGATGATGAAAATGATGATGACAGCTGTATCATTATACTATGGATTCAAAACACTTCTCGTGACCTTAATCATATCCATATCCATATTTCTAGCATCCTCAACACACTCATTGGAACTCATTACTCTAATGCAAAAGAAAAACTTTGCAATTAGACTGAAATGATAGGCGAAGCGCATAAACGAAATGGAAATGGTAGGTAATTGTTAGTTCTTTGCTGATTTAATATGCGAACTTTAAAGCTACGAGGGTAGTTTGTGAAAGTTTAATTTGCACTTGAAGTTTGTGTTTTATTAGTGAAGTAGGGAATTGGATTAGTAAAAAGTTTTCCATAGTATCCGTTTATTTATTTATATAGGTATAATATGTTAAATATATTTATTTATATTATTATGTTTGTATGTATCTGTATATTTATGTATGTATGTATGTAGGTATAATTATGTATCTTAAATATTATATCAATTAAAAATTTAGCTTCTACCCTTCTACCTCTACCTTCGCACTCACAGCTTTCTGCATAACCCAGGAGTCGACTGGCTGAGAATGCTCAAATAGCATTAAGTCCACCTTTTGTACTATTTTATTGTGCAATAAAGTTTTATAATAATAATAATAATCCTTATTTGTAGACCAAGTGCTGCCAAATTGTGTTATGTACTCGTATCTGCTGATATCTTTCCCAAAATACCATAATCTGGATCTCTTCAAAGCAAGAGTAGGTAGGCATTTGCCTACTGGGCAGGTACTATCCTAGACTGTATCACATATTGCGATAACCCGAAAATTCGCGCTATAGCGATGGGTGTAGCCAAGTATTCACGTATACTTCGTTGCTTTGATACATACTACTTAGTCAGAACTGTCTGGAGCACTTTGCGCCGCTATCGCCCGAATGTTTTTGTGACGTTTAGTGTGTGGCTCAGGGGTGAGCATCAGGTGTATAACATTTGCTGCTTAAAAAATTTATCTAAAACGATTGAAAGGTGTAAAGTTATCTCTACTTCCCTAAAATCTCCATTTGTAGAACACGTGCTGTCAAATATGTGTAAAAATTATTGTGAAAGGTATAAGAATTTCCTTCAGAATTCCACAGCAAGATGCAAGTAGCTTTCAAAAGCACTTTAAAATAATCCAAACGTGACACGCGGGCGCCGCGTGTTGCCCGCACTTAAGGACCTAGAAATGCACCTTGGAGGGCTTTATGGGACAGGTAGAGGCCACTACTATTTGTCATCTTTCATGAAAAAATATTCATTTTATCTCCTTCTGTTATGTTACGATTGAGACCAGAATCCTGGTATTGGGGTCGAGTTTTTTAAAGTTATATCTGGACACGGCTTTATTTCCGCTTACCGCTGGGCTACACAATATTGGACATTTTACACTGCGCTTCTGGTCCCAAACTAAGCAAAGCTTGTACTATGGGTACTAGACAACGGATATAAACATATGTACTTAAATACTTTTTTTTTGTAAATACATACATAGGATTATACATAGAAAACACCCAGTCCAATACAAACAATATGTTCATGCACACAAATGTTTGTACTTTGCGGGAATCGAACCCGCAACCTCCGGAATAGTAGTCCGTTTCGAACCACTACACCAAACGGCCGACTAATTTACATTACATTACAGCGCGTATCATGTGTGTGGCCCAGAGGTTACATAATCATTATTTTATTTTTCATACAGTCCAGTTGAAATATTATAGATGTGGTGAGAGGCCCGCCCCTAATGACATCTTTGTGAACCTCAGGCCCTCAACCCGTCTGGTTAGCGTAGGTAGAATAGGTCTATTATCCATTTGCCTCTGTTATGTTAGAGTTGAACATTGACGTGCTTCTGTAGTAGAGAACAAAATTTGGCGATGAATACTGACACTTACAAAGAAATTACCAGTTCTGCACACATGTTGTAAAGAGCATAAACCAAGCACTTATTCTCCACTTATTTTTAGTCCATACATTTTGGTCACATTTTTAGTTTTAGTTAGTTTCTTACCAATAGTAGGGGACACTGCAAATGCAAGTTATCTTTTCACAGAGAACGGTTTTAGCTTCCATCTGCCTCAGTGCATACGACTTGTACAGGGAACACTTTTGTGCTTTGACCATTTTTATGTAGAACATAAGTTGCGGAAAATGTCGTGAGCCTGTTTTTATTTAGGTCCTTCTTTCTCTTTATTGGGCATACAGTTTGGGTTGGCGTACTATAGTCTTTTAGATATTATTATCACAAATGCAGAAGACTCAGTTGGTCAGACTTTATAATAGCTACATTTTCTAAGTGTGGACAGGCCTCCCATTAAGTGGACTGACGATCTGGTGAAGGTCGCGGGAACCTGGATGCGGGCAGCGCAGTACCAGTCGAGAAATCTACAATACACAACAAGCTTCATACTAGCTCCAAAAAAACTGACTTAATTTTTTAATTTCTCGTAAAATACCTTTGTCATACAAAATGAATGAAAATCTTACTTTTTTTTTAACTTTAACTTTGACAAACGTCAAAAATCTGTCAACCTCCATACAAAAAATATTGAAACAAACGTAGATTTTTGCAACGACTGTGTTTTATTTCTTTCACATGCTACCATAAACAATATTTAATACATATTTTGTTACAAAGAAGTTCTAATATCAATACCCCCACTTAACAAAATAAACTAATTAAATTCAAACTGTGTTTCATTTAATTATTCATGACAAAACCTATTACATTAGTCAGTTGTAATGCCTAATAAATGAAGAAACCTATAATGCTTACACGACATTAATCCCTTTGTCAACAAGTCAGCAGGCATCTCATTTGAACACAAATATTTAATTTCAATAATCTCATCTTTAATATAATCTCTAATAAAATGATGTCTGACATCAATATGCTTTGACTTATTATGACATTGGTGACTTGTTGCCAAACTTAAAGCACTTTTTTTATCACAATACAAAGTTATTACTTCTAATTATTTACCTGTAAGCTCATAAATATATAGCCTCTCTAGCAGCCTATCTATATCTATAGTTTTACAATCTGACATTTGGAACTTAGACAATAACTGCTCTATAAGTATATTGAAGCTGATCTACAGTTATTACATTGTTTTCTCTATCAACATTAACATTCATGCCCAAATAACGTTTGACAGGTCCTAAGTCTTTCAACTTAAATTCTGAACCCAACATTTTTTTTAATTGTTCAGTTTGCAAGCTATTATTAGAAAATATAAGAAAATCATCAACATACAAGCAAATTATGATTTTAACATCATCATCAAATTTTGTAAACAAGCAAGGTTCAAACTTACTAATCTTGAAACCTATGTTAACTAAACAATCTTTTACTCTTTCATACCATGCTAATGAAGATTATAACTTATGCCTTCCACAAAACCTATCTCCTCCATACCTGCTGCACTGCTAGTGCATAGATTTGTGAAACCATACTTTTGTGGTGGTCTCCTCTGTCTCTTCGGCCTGGTATTTGGAGTCTGAGTAACTGGATTTACATCTGAAGTACTTGTTGCTTCTCCACCATCTGCACTTTCTGGAGATTGTGAGACTGTAGTTACTGTGGTTGGACAGTTCAGGGATTCTTGTTGTTTCAGCTCCCCCACTGAATNATTTTTTTAATTGTTCAGTTTGCAAGCTATTATTAGAAAATATAAGAAAATCATCAACATATTAATACAAGCAAATTATGATTTTAACATCATCATCAAATTTTGTAAACAAGCAAGATTCAAACTTACTAATCTTGAAACCTATGTTAACTAATCAATCTTTTACTCTTTCATACCATGCTAATGAAGATTATGACTTATGACTTCCACAAAACCTATCTCCTCCATACCTGCTGTACTGCTAGTACATAGATTTGTGAAACCATACTTTTGTGGTGGTCTCCTCTGTCTCTTCGGCCTGGTATTTGGAGTCTGAGCAACTGGATTCACATCTGAAGTACTTACTGCTTCTCCACCATCTGCACTTTCTGAAGATTGTGAGACTGTAGTAACTGTGGTTGGACAGTTCAGGGATTCTTGTTGTTTCACATCCCCCACTGAATCCCTATCCTCTGCACACACCACAGCTTCATCATTATTCAGGACCCAGATGTTGTTGGAATCTTCACCTGAAACTGTCAGTCCTGTCTCTCCTTCCATCACAATAACATCTCTGCTGGTGGTTACTGCATTCCTTTTTGGATCATAGATGCGGTATCCTTTCACATTCTCGGAAAAACCCACAAGTATCTGTCTCTCCGCTTTTCTATCCCATTTCAATCTGCATTCTTTTGGGATGTGGACCATTACGGGACTTCCAAATAAACGAATGTGACTTAAGTCAGGCTTTTTGCCATGCCACGCTTCATATGGTGTCATATTTTTCAAGCTTGAAGTTACACATCTGTTCTTCAAGTAAACAGCTGTGTTAGCTGCTTCAGCCCAGTACTTTTTCTCGAGTTTTGCATCAAACAACATGCACCTGGCCTTTTCAATGATGGTTCTGTTGGCTCTCTCACTCACTCCATTTTGTTCTGGCGAGTAGGCATTCGTTCTTTGATGAACTATTCCATGGGTCTTCAAATAGTTCTCAAATTCTCTACTACAAAACTCACCGCCATTGTCTGTGCGAAGTACTTTTATCTTTCTGTTTTGCTGATTTTCTGCAAATGCTTTGAACTCTTGAAAATACTTGAACACTTCATTCTTATTTTTCATGAAATATATGAATGTCATACGGCTGTAATCATCTATGAACAACACAAAATATCTGGCACCTCCTATGGATTTCGTTTCCATTGCACCACAGACATCTGCATGTACTATCTGTAGAGGTTCTGCACTTGTGTTACTTGAATGAGGAAAAGGTAGTCTCATTTGTTTACCTTCACAACAGGTTATACACTTCTCCTTTGTCATGTCACTAATGGTTGGGTAAGAAAAACCATTGACTAAGCCGTTCTTCATTTTGTTCATGTCACTACCGTTGATATGAGCTAGTCGCCTGTGCCATAACTCTGCGTCTGCTACTGCTGATGCCGCTAATCCACAATCTGCTTCCTTTGTCATAAGCTTGTAGACTCCATTAGTCAATTCTGCAGTTGCAACCAGTACATTTTTCTTGTTTCTGATGTAACAATGGCTTTCATTGAAGTTAACTTTGTTCCCATTGTTAATCAATGCACTTACTGATAGCAAATTTGTAGTTAAACTTGGCACACATAGCACATCTTTGATTGTCACATCGTAGTCATAACTGGTAGTTATCTGTACGTCTCCGGAGCACACAACTGGCACTTTCGTATCATTTGCAACAGTTATTTCTGATAAACTTGGAGAAAAATTCGCGTTGTTTATCCAATTCTTGTTAGCTGTCATATGTGCGCTGGCACCAGAGTCAACGTACCATTCAGTTTTATCGTATGTACCATTCAGAAATACCACACTGAATGCATTGGTTTCCTTTTTCTTCAACAACGGACACTGATTTCGATAATGCCCCTCTTGTTTGCATTTGTAACAAGTGATTTTCTTTGTTGATGAAATATTATCTGTCACTGTCTTTCTGTTGACACATGACGTATCACCATATTTTTTCGGCTTAGTGTTGCCAGAGAAAATTTTGTTTTTCGCTGCAAATGCTGTTCCACTAGTACTGCCTTCAAAGTCACTTGCAACTTCCATGTCGAGCAATTTTGTTTTGATGACATCTGCAGTTATCGAAATCCCCGAATGTTCAATTGCCATGATCATTGGAGTATAACGTTCAGACAATCCTGCCATTAATAATGACCCAACCCATTCATCAGTAATTGTAAAACCCGTGCCATTTAACCGTTGAGCCGTTTCGACTATTTGCGTTATGTAGGTAGCCATTGAGTCGCAATTTTCGAGTCGTATAGATATCAAATGTCGAAGTAGGGTTATTTTCCTTGAGAAACCAGAGTCATCGAACATGGTCTTCAGTGTATTCCATAATTCTGCCGAGCTCTTAGTGTTCTTTATGTGCACGTACAATACTGGGTCAATCGTCAATATTAGCTTTGCCTTCGTTTTTGCGTCGTCTATCGGTTTTAGTTCAAAGTCATCCGTTGGCTTTATATACATAACCATGCCTTCTAAAACCAGTAGGTTTTCTGCCGCAAAACACCACTCGTCGTAATTCTCCCTGCCTTTCAATTTTGGCACATTTGCAATATAGTTCGTAGCCATTCTGTTTCCGCAAAAATAACGTAACACAATTTATCTATTTTGTACTAAAATAAATCTGATAAAATTGTTTAGGCCCATAACCTATTGAAACAAACGTAGATTTTTGCAACGACTGTGTTTTATTTCTTTCACATGCTACCATAAACAATATTTAATACATATTTTGTTACAAAGAAGTTCTAATATCAATAAAAAACACCGGTTATCGTTATAGTTACTATCAAAGTTAGGTGGTGCAACTCAGCCTAAGTCTATCAGTGAGTTAAAGATAAGTTCCGCTTCAAAAAAAGGTTTTTCATGCACTCTCTTTGAAAACATTTCACAAAACCACATGATATCGATATGATACGTTATTTATATGTTTATAAGGTCCCGCGTCCGCGATGTACACCCGCAGTTTAAATTGGAATGTTTTATGCATGCGACCGCCGCGCCGATCAATTCGCCTGTGGGTGTACAAGGGCTGACTTTGAAAATTGTAACGTTCTGGAACAGTCGGTGTTTGAAAATAAACATTTGAATGTTTTTGGGATTTTTAGGTGAAACCAGTTAGGACGTTGAGTGCACTATGTAACTGTGTAGGTGTATGTGTACTAATGTGTAGGCAGAGGAAATGGCCATACATTTGGGCCATTAGGGTTTCGTATTTTTGTGATTGGCTTATGAGATTGTTAATGTACCAAATACAACTCAAGGTTGTTTGAAAACATTTTAAATCTTCTCGAAGAAGTTAGCATACCAAAATATTTGACTAATTTATTTTCTTGAAGCTTTTTCGTACAAGGTGATGAAATCATTTTTCAGGACCTTGCCTGAAAAATGCTTTCTTGCTTGCTGAGCCCTTGCTCAACATATTCGGACTCTAGATACTTAGTAGATAGAAAGAACTCATTTCATAAAACGTTGATCGAATTTAAATAAATAGGCGACCAAATCGCAAATATTGTCCTACTAGCCAATATAGAGGATAAAAATAAAATGGATTCTGTCGAAATCAATTTAGTAAATCGGAAAGCGAAACGACTGTAGTGAACAAAGTTGGTAGTCCATTTAAATCGGTATTGAAATCGTTTGCCTACGCAATGTAAATACCGATTTGAATAAATAAAATCGGATCTTATTTTTAGCAACTGAATATGTATCAGGCGTGTTGTATAATCAATGGAGACGATAAAAAAGTAATAAAACTTATTTATTTTTTGCAAGTAGACTTTTAAAAAGCACTATTAGGCAGGTTTTAGAATCGCGCTGACCGCTCGCTGATCGTCGGCGCTGACAAATCAATATGTATGTAATTGAAGGAAACGTTCTTGAGTGACGCTGATCGCTCGGCGCCGACGCTTCATACATTTCGGCTGACGGTCAGAGTGCGTCAGCGTGACTCTAAAACCAGCCTTACATGTCCCAGCATTAACTCTACCACTGCTTCGGGACAACAAATGGCCCAGTGTGCTGAGAAGAAGTAGCGCAAGAAACTCAGTCACTATTGTGAGACTCAGACACTACTTGGGCAATCGCTTGTTTGAAAGTAACGGGACTATAATTCCCACCTCTCTTTCCCACCACTGCAACTCCTGTGTAGCCAGGATCTACAGCTTGACCGCCAATAAAAACCCAACCTGTGAAGGTCAAATTTGTCCCGGGGAAAGTTAAACAGTTGTTTGAAAGTAAGTCTACATTAAAATCTTTTACTAAATCATATTGCAAATGATATAAGTTTTGTTTTACACATAAAAAAATAATTTTGTCCCACCTTATTGAACCGAAGCAGTTAATCCAAAAAATAATTGAGACATGTAGCTTTTTGAAAGCCTTACGTACAGAAAATAAAATAAATTTTGTTATTATTTTTTATACTTCAATACACTCGACTGTTTATGAGAAGATAAAAGTATCTTTCGTGGAATTTAATCCATTACAGAAAGTATATCGATCAAAGAACTTTTTCCTTACACATATTATTATAACACTATTTATTGATGACTCTAACATACATATAATGGTTCCTACATAAAATATTTTACGACAAAAAGCAGTATCTGTTCTCGAGGCCTTAATGTTCAAATTTCAAGGTTAACGGATAACCAAACAGATTATACTTAGTATAAATAATATAGTAGATGAAATACAAAGTATATACGATCGTAAGTACCTCTCAAGTTTCGTTCGCTTCTAGACTTCCGATGCCATTTCAATTTCAAGTCTGAGCCGTGTAGGGTAACAACAAGTTAAGTTCAAAAGGAGAAAATGTACTAAAGCTTAAAAAGAGGACAATTCTAATTCCCCTGTGATTTGATCCCATCTCCCCAACCAGTACGAAAGATGATGGGCTTAATTTGAAGTCCATATTTTAGTAGAAAATACTTATAATGGAAAGAAATTAATTTTTGGTACAGCATTT